CCCCTCCCCCCCCCACAGCCACCAGCAGGGCAGTGGCTTGCACAGGAGAAGCTCGACTTTACGCAGGGAAGTGGAATGTAATGCCCGTGCCGGAGGTGGTTTCGTGCTTCTCGAGGATGGCGATGATCTCCTTAGATTTGAATGAGGCGAGGCAGCTAAATACCAGCCACTCGTTGCTGTAATTATTAAAATACAAGACTGAAGTAGCCTGTGCCGTGCCTTTAGAATTAAGGCAGCACTAATAAGGTTAGCGTCTTTGAAAGCTGTCAGAAATGGTCTGGTTTCATGCAGTTTTCCTCATTTTGCAATGGCACAATTTAAATTCATATTGTAAGCCAGTCTGCTTTGAATGCAGTTCAGCTATTGTATGTATCCAAAATGCAGTGAGTTAAATATTTAATGAATCGGCATCTGTAATATCTGTACTAGGCTTTAGTTCAAAAGTATCATCTTCAGACGCTGCAGAGGAGCAGCTCTATTTGAAATCATATTCATGGAGCTGAGGGAAATGACTGGCAAAAAATCATTTCAATGCAGTACTGAGGAAGTCCTGTTTAAGAAACCACAGAATAGACATCTTGGGGTAATAGCATTTACAAACCTCAGATGGGTTCCAACCTGCCTGTTTGTATTGTATCGATCGCTGCTCCAGTATTTACAAGGGTAACATGCAACGGGATTTTCTTCCTACCCTAACCTACCAAATTTCTAGAACAGGTTTCTAGCATATCCACAAACATAGGTCTCTTTTAGGCAGCTTAATTGATACGGTTTACGGAATACCCACTTGGGAGATAGGTTTCTTAAATTTCAGGTTTAGCTGCCTTTGTTTTAAGGAAAATCCTTTCATTGTCATTTCCGTAAAAACATATAGAATCAATTACAAGGAACGTGAGGCTGCAGGAAACAAGCTACCTCCCCGGTAAGCATGAAATCCATTTTGTTTACTGAATCTTGGCTTGGTGTATTAGCTTTTCTGTAAGATGGAGTGTTCATCAATTTTCCATTAGTGCACAGATGGTGAACGTGCTTGTCTGATAGTGCAAGACAAGCTCCTCTGCGTTCAGCAGAAGAAAAGCCTGCTAAACCTAGAGAAAAATCATCCTGATTCTAAGAAGCTTTTTGCAGGCTTGTAGGTTACAGGCATATTTTCTTTCAGTAATCAAGATAAACCTAAGACAACGTTATAAAATGATGCACACCTACCTCTTGTCTGAAAGGATGCTGAGAGCGCTGTTCTGGTCCCTTTTTTTAATGCAGCCTATGGCACAGCTAAGATGGAGCTTTCCTACCATTGGGCAGAGCACGATGCTGCTGACAACTTCCTTTATGCTCATTTGCATCCAGCCCTCAACCCCAGGAGTAAATCATTCATAAATTTGACTCTTATTGCCTTGAGGAAGAAACAAACCCCCTTCCCGCTCTCATTTTTGGGGATGCTCTATCTGGCGCGATGAGCTTGTTAGCGGAGAAGCGTGCTGGGAGCGCGACGGTGGCCGTGACCCTGCTTTGCTTTGCGCTGGGAAGCAGCCGGTCAAACCGTGACGTTTGAAGTGTTAATATCTGCAGATTTCCAGCTTCGCCGTGCGGTTAGATGTGCTTGTCGTGAACTGTAGCAGGCTGTAGCCAGGCAGATTAAACAAGATAATCTTCTTCTTCATTCAACTGACGGAACAAATACATGATAAGTCACCTTAACTATTTGTTGTACCTCCTGAATCTATTTTAGCCACTTTAGACCTCTCGTTTCACACCTGGTTTTTTTACTTATAAAATGCCCTGCGTTCATTTTTAATGACAAAAGGGGACCCCGTAGGGCAAAATTCCTCTAGGCTGTATTTTCAGGGAGAGCTGGCTTTTGTTTTTCTCCCTATTTCCATCTTAATCTTGTAACCATGTTCTTCTGTAGCTGGAGCTATACTGATTCTTCTATGTTAATGTCTATGTTAATTTTAGAATTGTGCTACGTAAAGCCGCTAATGCGATGTCACGTAGTAGCTTCACAATTACTAGTTGCTGAGTTTTGAATTTGCTGTTTGTTCTTTCGACATTATGTTTTTTTACTATACTAGCACCAGTTCTCGTGAAGTCTTCCCAGTCATTATGGAAAGTGGTTTTGTTTGAAATTTGGCTACCTCCAAAATTCCCACTTTTTAGTTGCCTTTTGTAGGGACTTACAGATCAACTTAGAAGTAGGTTGAGATGCAGTGGGACAGACGTGAAAAAAATTCATCTGAAGCATAATGACTTTGAAAACTCAATTTGGAGTTTCCTGTGAAGAACTTGCCAAGGGCATCTGAATTTAAAGACAGTGAATGTAGCAGACTTTCTCTAAGCCTGCCGCTTACTCGGTGGAAACGATGGGTCTTTGAGGAATATCTTAGGTGCATTTTCTAGAATATTATCTTTTTTTTTTTCTTTCTTTTTTCACTACAGCAAACCCCTGAGCCCTTCCACACCTCTTTATCACCAATCTCATCCATATCCCCCAGCTGCCCAGCAAAGAATTTGCTTAGCAGCTCTGCTCAGCACCCGCTGCAACCTCTCCCTCAGTTAATGCACCGACTTGAATTGTTCTTTTCTCTCCCTCGACTGATTTTTCCACAGAAATAACAGGAGCTCAGTATCTCCGAGTTACCTACTGTCCTGTCCAATGTGATTAGAAATCACCCGTGGACTAAAAAATTGCTGTGGTGACAAAGAGGAAATGTTCTTTTTCTGGAGTAGCTGAAATTCTGAAAAGCAGTTAAGTTTGAGCAACGTTATGCTGGTAATGGGCCTGTAGCTTTTGGTAGCGGTTTGTGGATATTTCTGTTTAATGTGCTCTACTAATAGCTGAAGTTAATAAAAGAGTCATTAACAGCCTCGCAAGAACTTTTGAAATAAGCTTTACACGGTAACAAACCTCACGATACGTTAAGACAGAACCAGACTTGACAATAAGTCTCCACTAGAGCTACTTTAAAAAAAAAAAAAAAAAAAAGGCCCAGCACAACAAGCACGGCCTTCCTTTACCTGGTGTGTACCTATTGAATACCTATGGGGCATAAGTGAAACTATCTCAGCAGCACGAAGCTATCAGTTGAACTAATCGTTGGGCAAAAATGCAGTGCATTATTTCAGCATGAATTCATGTAGCGTAAATGATGATGGTATGTTAAGCCACAGAATTAAACATGTACTCTTATGGTAGTAACGCTGCAGTTGCTTGCTGTTTTCTTAAAGGTCGAGTCCCAATAACTTTATATTTAGGGAGTTCTCCTCAGAAGTGTTCCAGAGCCATGCCTGTGGACAGGTAACTCCGTGGGTCTGGATCCACACGTGTGCTAGCACAGAGTCCTCTGAGGGTGTGACACGCACTTCTGTTCACAGTAGTAATTCTGAAAGCTCATGGAAGTAGAGTGAGAAAGAGATGGAGTGCAGAGCCAACTGGGCGCTGTTGAAAGCATCATCCAATTGTTTCTTTTCTCCTTTTGTAGATCACAGCAATGGATCATTTAACTTGAAAGCCCTTTCAGGAGGCTCTGGCTACAAGTTTGGAGTCCTTGCTAAAATAGTGAATTATATGAAGGTACGGTGTTCTGATGTAAAACTACAATGTTTTTAAATACTTCGGTTATTTATTCTTCCATGGTAGCTCAAAGATGCTGCGCGTTTCAAACTCTAAAATTCTTATACTGCAAAAGTTGAGAACTCTTTTAACTGCTTGTTCAATTCAAAATGCTGTCAGTAAACAAAACGGTCAGCATATTGTTCTGTTACTGAAATCCTAATTATTCCAAGTCACTTTAAACCAGGATAATGTTTTTTATTTGCAGTAGAAATGGGACCTGCAGGGTGCTGTCAGCTTTTAGGATTCATGAGCTATTTATCAAAATAGCGTGTAATTTGGTGCTTGACAGATGACTTTGCTATCCATCTCAGCTGGTACTAATTTTTTTCCTCATATTCTCAAAAACCCCAAATTGAAACTGGTATGCTGTGTATACTCTGTCTATCCTGGCTTTGCAGAAGTTGTTTTGTCATCACATTATACCCATTTTAGTTAGTTTATGATAATCGAGTGGCTGAATAAAATAAGTACAGAACTCTTAATAGATCCTATTTACTTTTCCAGACTCGGCACCAGCGTGGTGATACACATCCATTAACCCTAGAAGAGATTTTGGATGAAACACAGCATTTAGATATTGGACTCAAACAGAAACAATGGTTAATGAGCGAGGTAAAGAAAACATGTGTTTAGATTACAATTAGAGATAAAGGATTATGATAAACCTGAATTATACGTGTTTGTTTAATTACAAGCTCTATCAATATGTAATCCCTCCTTTAAGAAACTACATTGATTCACAGGTCTGCCTGTCTTGTACCTCCTGCTGTTGAGGTAACTGAAGTGAAAGCTTTCTGACATTTTTAAGGACCTGTTAGAATTGCTACATGGAGAGTCTGTTTTATGTCAAGTGAATTTATTCATTACTAATTTTATAAAAACAAGCTGTTTTTCTTAAGGAATTCCTTTTTTAAACAATTTCAAGCAGGGAGCTCTTCCCATATTGAGGATGTCAAATGAACTGAACCAAAGGAGTATGGCGCAAAATTCATAAGCTTACAGTTCTTCCTTACTTACTGAAATAAAGCATTCTGATGTGAAATTTACGTCTGAAATTGTGGGGTAATCTGCAAATTCTGCTGCTGGAGTTCGTTGGTCTCGCTCTAGGTGCTAGGGTTTCGTTCTTACAGATTCACTGTAACTTGCCACCATATTCATCTTTGTGCTTAATTGATCTGAATGTCTTCATGGAATTTCAAGATTAAAAAATCAGCAAAATACCGTATTCTGTATTTATACTTGATTGGCATTCCCGGTTTTGCTCACATCATGTTTTAAATCCTCGCAACAGGGTAGTAAGGGCTGTTGAGACATGGGAAAAAAGAAATCTCTGCGTAACGAAACTAGGATGGTTTTAACTAATACAGCCCATAGCATCCCTTTGCTACCAGTACTAATATTCTGGGGTTCAGAAACCTCTAATCTGGTAGCGTTGGTTGTGATGGAAGCTTGACTTTGCTGCAGGCTTTCAAAAGGTAGCTCCAGATTGTTTTCCATAATGGGCCAGAATAGCAAGATGGAACGAAAAAGCTCCTCCCAAGAAGAGTATATAAAATTATCACTGAATTGTTACTGGATGAGAAAAGGTGAAAAAATACCCCGCAGCGCCAAAGTTGGTTACCTTCTCTGTTACAGGTGTTTTCTCCCTCCTTTCTTCTTTCTGTCTCTCTTCTCTTTCTCCTTTCAGGGTCAGGCTGGCATCTGCAGAAGAAACTAAGTAGAGTTGCCCTCTGTTACAGGTGAACTTCCATTGTGGTACTGGCTGCACAGCAAAACTGATTCGGAGCATATCTTAAATCATTTCAATTGCCCATGAACTTCTGGTCAGCTTCACTCTGAAGCTGACAGCCTAAGTAAAATCCTACTGTGCAGGAGGTCTGCTCTTCTCACTTTCTTCTACAGCTGCTGGTGCCAATTGACAGCAGTTGGGGAAGACTGACTCCTGTGTTGTTCATCCCAGGTTAATGCCTTTCGCATTCGTAACATCCGTATGACCCGAGCTCGATAAACCGAGTTGTGCGTTTGCACTTTGTATTCAGCCAAAGCCCACTTTTTTTGCATTCCCTCTTCTTTTCATTTTCATTCCTTTCTCAAAAACGAACGTGTGCGGCTTTCTGCCGTAAGAGGCTTCGTGGACCTTCGAGCCCAGAGGCATTAAGTAAATGATGTTAAGCCTCCTTTGGTGCTTTGTGCTTTATCTTGTGGCGAATTATGGCTAGGCTGTGGCGGATCTAGGATCCAAGGATTTAAAATCCCTTTCAACTCAAACCTCCAAACCGGCAGCTGTAATGTGTGGCTGATGTGCTCTAGCTGCTCAAAAGCACACTAGAAAAAAAAAAAGAACTGGCGTGGGCTCTTTTTCAAAGTTTAAAATTTACATCCCCATTACAGGCTCTAGTCAACAATCCGAAAATAGAAGTTGTAGATGGGAAGTATGCTTTCAAACCCAAGTACAACTTGAAAGATAAAAAGGCTCTGCTCAGGCTCTTGGACAAGCACGACCAGCGAGGGCTGGGAGGAATCCTTCTAGAAGATATTGAGGAAGGGCTACCCAATGCACAGAAGGCTATAAAGGTGAGTGGCATGTGTCTGCTATTCAGCAAACCCATTGGGGTTAGCTTCTCAAAGGGGGGAGGTAGAGCCTGAGAGAGAGTTTTCTCATGAGTTGTTTCTGTTCTTTCGATAACTCAGAAGCTGTTTCAGAAGATCTAGTATTGTAGCTTTTCCTGTATTTCATCCTTTACTTCCAGATTTGGCCTGATGTCTCAGCACAGCTGTCAAGGCTTTCTCACAAACGACTCTTGATCTCCCACATTCCAACTGTAGGCAGTTAGTTCTGCTTTTATACCTTGATCTCAGTCCTCCGTATCTCATCTTTGATTTATTAGGCTACTTATCATCAGCGTCCGCTTTGGATGCTTTCCATTACCAGTTATTTTGCTGCTTCCCTAGTTTGTTGCGCCTTTTGTAGCACAAGATCTGGGTCTGTTGCTCAAGTTGGAATCCTTATTCGTGGAAACGAAGTCATTTTGAGTTGTTGTTTTGCATTTGTTTTCGAGGCTTTAGGGGACCAGATCATCTTTGTTAATCGCCCTGATAAGAAGAAAATTCTTTTCTACAATGACAAGAGCTGTCAGTTTACTGTGGATGAAGGTAGGTATTTATATATGTTTCCATGATAGTTGATTTGAATTCATCCTAACCACCTATATCTGTAAGCAGTCTTCAGGTATAGCAGTCTTTTAAGGTGGTAATGAAATATTAGGTATATCCAGATGCCAGGAGAATGATTTACATTAACAGGAGGCTAACAAGACTAGCAAGTGAGTTCAGGGGTAATATCCTCTGAATTATAATGGATACGTTGGAACGTGGCACCGGGAATCCAACAATTCTCTTCAAGTGTCACGGTACAGAAGAGACTAAATATCACCCGTGTCTGACTAAAATGGCATCTAGCATTTCGCTGTATAAAGGGCAGACAGAAAACCCCAAAAGAATGGCTTCCTGGTGCAAGTTTGTTGGTTTTTTTCCAGTTCATTCATCACCTTTTATTGGTGAATGCGATGAGAAGCCACGAGTGGAACAGGAGGAGGAAGCAAACAGGGAGGAGATGTGAGCAAAAGTCCTGAGAAGGGGTAGTTTACAGCCAGGAGGAGGGCGCAGGTGTGGGGTAGTGCTGCTGCCTGGAGGTGGAGTGGATTTGGGACTTCAGAAGTTCGGCATGTGTTTTCTGTCTACCAAATAGTGGTAAAAGCCTCTAGTGCAACGTGCCTGTTTATGCACAGAAATTAATGACACAAATCAGGGTGTGTTCCAATAATGACTCTTATGCCAGCATCAGATGCCTGTAAGTACAGAAAGGAGAAGGCAATCTGTGTCAAAAGATCTTATTTTAAATGACTCAACGACCCTGAATGCTTTCTGTTGTTAACGTTATTCTTGTAACATGCCATGTAAAGCCATCTTACCATATAATGCCACATTGTGGTAAAAAAAAAAAGGGAAGTGCTTTCATAGAAACTCGAACTGCTCCTCTTACAGGACCATAGGACAAAGCATGAAGCTCTCTTTTTTTTTTTTTTTTTTTTTTTTTTCTTTGACTAGCTCAGAGAGAATCTTTATTTTCAGTAGAATTAAACAACTGGAAATGTGTATCATTAACTTGTTATGTACCACACTTGTACTCTCATTAGTAATAGCTTTCTTCCACAAAGGTAATTAACTAGATGTGACATCTACAGCATTTAAAAATACAAAATTGTTTCAAAATACTGAAGTGAATCTCTTTTTTTTAAACCGTAATTTCTGTCACTTCTTGATAGTGGCAGTCGGAACTGCATGTGAAATGCAGAATTGTAAGCCTTTAGTCTGCATTCACTGGGGAATTCCTAACCTCCCAAATGTTTAGGAGTTTACCATTAGCACTGTCATCCTGTTCAGATAGTGTCCCTTCAGTCCATCAGCCCACAGCTTTTAGGGATCCAAACATGGCCAAAACTTTTAGAAATCAGTGCTGTTGCAGTAACTGTTAAGGCAAAGCTTTTAGGTTTTTTAGCAGCTACCAGTTGTATTACAGTCACGATTGCTGATCATTTTTTCTTGTGCATTTTTTTCCGGATAACTGGCACCCAGCCATCCTAAAAGAGTTAGCAGAGGGAGATCTCTACCCTGTTGCTCTTAGTTTGTAATAAATCCAGGATTAACTCTGAAATTTAATAAAAGAGCCCATTTTATTAAGATACAGCAAGAGATGCCTGCCAGCTCTTCATTGAGTAGCCAGTATAAATCCAAGGCTGTGCATATACAGTACCTTATACTTCAGCACACCCAGCACCGGTCAGTCTTTAGGAACAAGCAATGCAGGCTATTGCTATGGAAGGGGGGGAAAAGGTTAAAAAAGAACCCTCTAAAACCCCTTGAAACAAAATGTTTAAGCTGTTTGGCTCGATCTCCCGATGCAGGCAGGCATTTAAGCCTGCAGTGTCTGTCATGAAGGAATCGCTAGTGTGCGGTGTGTTTGTAGTTCAAGGTGGCTTTGCTTCCTTTCATCCGCAGGTGGCAGCATGTTCCCATCTGAAAAGTGTTTTTTTTTTTTTTTTTTTTTCCTTCTGTTCCTGCTGGTTTTGGTTTTTCTTTTCACACAGATGATGATGCTTTGTTCTGGGAGGGGGCAAGAATACTTTCTCTTTCGTGAATTTCGTGATCTGCCTGCATATACCACAACTCTTAAAACATCCCCGAGTGGGTTCGCTTACTTACTGCAGCTGGAACGGGTCCTTTTTCCAGCCATGTTACCTGTGATGAAGAAAACCCATCCTTCCTGAGCAGTTTTGCTTTACGATTCTTTCCAGAGCACCAGACCCATGTCTCTTAGGGAGTCATTGGCAGAATTGTCTGCGTACAGGATGAGTTATGACACGTTTCTGCGTTAGCAGTGCTATTTCAGCTCATTATCTTCAGCAACATTAAAACGAAGTTTTTGGAAGACTGCAAAATAAGCCTTGAAGTGTTGGCAGACTCTTTGATCTAGCAGCTGATGACAGTTCAAAATACGTTTCTGGTTTAACATTTATCCTTAGAAATAAGGGCTCTGCGCTCCTCAGTGCATGATTCTGCCATATAACGCTCTCCAGTTTCAAACATATGTTGGCTGGGATTAATACCCTCTAAAAATTAGGAGTCCTCTCCCATCACTGTCTGAGCTCCATCGGTAGTCAGTAGAGAAAGAAGAGCTGCCAAGGCTATTTGGAGCTTGCTGTCTAAAGCAGGGGGAGGAACTGCTTTCTGGCAGTGCCTGCCTCTGCCCTTACTACAGTTGTTTGATTGCTGAACAGGCTCTTCTTTCTCCCCTTTTGAAAATAAATCCCAATCTACTGCAGCAGCGGTGCAGTACCTATATATCGTGATCTCAAGGGGACCGGAGAAGGTTTTTGCAGTAAGGAATGGCTTTTGTTCTTCCTTTTATGTGATTAGCCAAGGAAGGTTCAGATTGCATGTGTTCCTTCTTGACTTCCTGGCTAATTAATCTTCTGTCAGTAGTGTGTAGCTGAAAGCATTTATAAAAGCTGGGCTAGATTTCAGGTGCTTCAGCCAAGTAAAGCACTGCCTTTTTGTGCTGGGGCTCAGCAGTTTGCATGTGAACCAAGCTTTCACCCCGTGCCGCTGAACGCTGAAAGGCCAGTCTGACTGCTTAACTGTTAGAGATGGTATCTTTCACATCTGAATGCAATATAGGAAGTCTTTTAATGCCTGAAAATTTGGATAGTTAATTATAAACGTTTTTAATATTCTTCCGAAGCACCTTTGAAGGAATCTAAAGAATGGCCAAAGCCTCTTAAATTTAACAGTGTAAAAATTGCTTGGGATCAGTGACGACGTACAGCTCTGGCTTTGAATTCTAAGATGGTCCAGGGTCAGCACAGACTTAATATCAAGCACCTTTTCCTTCTGGTATAAATCTAGTACTGTGCTCCCTGGAACTGTTAGGAAGCAGGACTCCCATCTTTCCCACTGCTCACTTGTTTCTTCCCTTCAGCCCTGTTATTGTCTGTTCTTGTCCTGTGCTAGGTTTTGGCTCGCCTCAGTGAAGATTTTTAAGCTGTTTTTAATCTCTGGCAGATTTTATTACCAGTGTGATGCAGCAGTTTATCTCCAGAAGCCATCTCGACCTTTTTGCAAGAGCAGGTGAGGCAGTCGGAAGTGCAGGGTAAGCTGCACTGAAGTCACCGTGCAGCCATTTACCCGTGACTTTGTTCCCCAAATGTAAGCGTTTATAGGAAGGGAGGGTGTTAGAGTATAATTGCTCGGGGAATGTCAGCACAAGTTGGTTTGTATATGAGGCAGCTCATGATGCGGTAAAGCTGAGGTAACTGTGCGTCCTTACCCCTTGGGTATTTCGGAGGGAGAAGGTGTTTGCAAGATCTTCGTTATGCTGCCCTCTGCTTTGCTGTGTGTTGGTTACTGCTGGTCAAAGCTCATTGTTTTAAGTGTGCGTGATGCCGGAGATGTCAGCAAACATCTAAACTGGCCTTTCAATCAGCTTGTGGTCCCATTCCCTCCTCTCATTCCTTGAAAGACCAGAAGTGAGGTATCTGGAGGAGCAAGGGAGCAGCCTGTGAGTAGTGCTGATTCTGTCAGGCTTCCGAGTTAAAATATTTTAGCAATCAAATTGCAAGATGCTGCATATAGGATTTGTGCATAGTTCGGGCAAGACACCGAGCACCTGCCTCGGGTACCGGGATCACGACTTTCTGCCTCTTCTGGGGAAGATCTGCATTGGCATCAGGACTTAAAAGCTCTGCTGGAAACATGCGTGTCTCCTTGAGGGGTCATAGCACTTGCACTGCTTTGGCCAGAAACTCTTTGAAATATCTCCCCTGGGTTTTTTTTTCTGGGCTCCGTCCTGTCATAGCCACCTAAGCTGTAGGAGAAATTGTCAGCTTGTCTGAACGCAGCCTGCTGCGGTCGGGTGAAGCCTTACTGTCTTGACTGCTGGACAGGTTTTTTTTTTCCTTCCATAGCTATTATATGCTTGTTCTGGCTGATCTATCAAATAGTTTAGCAGCTCTGATAGAAGAGTATCTCGCCTTCGCCGTGCTCTGATGGTGTAAAGATCACCTAGCAGTGGACAGGACATGGAAAAGGAAAATTGAATGTGCTCTATAACCGTAATGGTTATGTGCGCTGCAGGAATGTGTGCATCTGAACCTGTTCTCCATGCCTGGCTGAAGCAGGCCAGCATGTGGCGAGCTTTCTGCTCCAACAGTCCCCTTCCTGCTCCTCACACCAGTACCCAGCTTCCTCTGCCCTGTCCACGGAGACAAGACAGACACACAAAAATGGATCCGGTGTGTTGAAACCATCTCTAGGAACCGCCTTCTGTCACTGTTGTCTGCTCTTCAGACACATCAGCTCATCACAGCATTTTTCTTTCCGTCTTCTCCCCTCCCCAGGGACAGGCCAGCCTGCTGCGTCCTCCTGCCTGGCCAACCATAAACATGGACGCTGCTCCAGAGGTGGTGGAGCGCAGTAATCGGCTCGTTGCATGCCATTTCCTCCTCCCTGGCCACTCTCACGAACTACTGCTTTTAAAAAGTGGTGACCCCCTTTCCTTGGAGCCACACAGTCAAGGCCAGGGTGACAGTATTTCAGATTCTCCGCGAAAAAGTTGGAGAAATCTCCCTCTGTCTTGGGTCATGGGTATGAATTTTGAGGCACAGGAATACCACAGGTACAAATGCGGACGGTTGTTTCTTGAGAGCTGTAGTTAACTGCCAGCTTTTCCCATAGGCTCTCATATTTCAGAGGGGATGTCACAATAATTCAGATGGCGTATTCCCAAGGTCTAAACTTTCACTAGCTGATAGGGGCATAGTCCTTGGAGACGTCTGAATAAATCTGACAGGTAATGTGGAAATGGTTCAGTGCCAGCCAGACAGCTGCTCTTTTTTCAGTTCTTGCATTTAGCTCAATGTCTGGTGTTAACACCGAATGGGTTTTGTGATGAGATGATAGATATATCTCCTTTTCCCTTTAGAGGGCACCCTAAATGCAAAGAGCTAGCACGCACAGCTGTCTGAAGGGTGGCAGCTCTGTACACTTCTCCACCTTCCTCCCGTGCTTTTAGTTCTGAACCAGTCCTTTAACACGGAGTATTTCGGGGGGAGCACCATGTTGTTGTAAATCTCCCCCTTTCCTAGGCTAGAAAGTATTTTAATGCCCTACATGGAGCTTCAGCATGAGAGGAAGGTTCTTTTGCAGTCAAATCAATAGTGCTGAAAGCAGCCTGATTTATGAAGGAATTTTTAAATGGAGTTGCAGAGTACTGTATAGTGGCTCTAGTGAGGCCAGTTAGTGGATTAAATTATCTGTACGTAAAGTCCATTTCAGCTTTGCGGTTTTGATTCTCAGTGACTGTTACATTCGTATTTCTTGGTCAAGTTTAAAAGCTGAATGTGAAGCTGTAATGATGGTATAACCCCTGCGTTACAAGAAATGCAGAGCGCTGTGGTTAGGTATTAACTGCGATCCGCACTTCTGTGCATGTTGATCCTTGAAGAGCTGACCATTTACTTTCTAGTGTTTAATTTTTCACTTCTGTTCCCCAGAAGAATGTAGACCAGTTAAACCTTAAGCACCTATCCTCAGCCTTTTTCGGTTTTTTGCAACGCGGGGGGCATATTTGTCCATATATTATGAACTCTAATAAGGAGACAGTCATCTGTGTTTGTAGCAGCACATTATAAATAAAAGGACACTGTCATGTAAAAGTTTGAATATATCAAGCCTCTCATCTGCTTTCACCTCGTGTACACGTCCCTGTCGTGCATCTTGGAGGACTGACCTGCATCTCTTCAGGTCCCGCAGGAGTTGTCTGTGCAGAGCCAAAGGCGGTATAGCGCAACACAACGTGACAGTATCTCTAACCAGGACCTGTTTAATAGTCGTGCGTTTATGTGCAGCCTTGTCACTTCATGTGTGAGCTGCAGAAATGTGTGGTGTGAAATACTGTTACCCGCGAAGTGCGATACCGCGTTTGCACACCCATGGTCTGATTCATCTTTCCAAGCACCGCCAGGTCTCGGTGTCGAGCTGAATCCAGCTTGGGTGTTCATGACAGGGAGGGGGCATGAACAGAAGGGAAATAGCTTGGAAGAGCATGTTCTGCTCGGTCCGGAGGAGGCAATAGGACCGTTGGGCAAGCTGCTGCTGTTAAGACTTAATCTTGAGTGCTCATCGCTGAGAAATCTCTCTCTTGCATCTGCAGCTTTGATCATAACACAGCCTTCTCCACCTGCCGCAACAGGGTTAGGTGAGAGATGATCTGTGATAGCAGGCACCGTGAGCTATGCCGAAAGCCCGGAATCGCACTCAACGTGGATGAGCAGACGGAGAATGTCTTGACTACAGCGTCAGTCCTTGCATTAAGTTATCTGAAAGCTGCAGCCTCGGTGATCCCGCTGTGCTGTATAGCCTGTACGAGAAACAAGCTGAGCGCTATCTCCGTGTAACCAAAAGCGGTGCTTTGACAGGATTTAGTTCTCCTCAAAAATGCTGCATTACCAAAAATGAACATTGTTGTTCTTCACTGGCAGAATTCCTTTCTTTTGTTTCCTGGGCAGCTTGAACAGCCCCTTACTGTTGGCAATGGGAGGAAAAGAAAGACCCGAGAGGTAAAGCATGTACTTTCATAGAAAAACAGGATGCATTAGGAAGGGAATCGGTCCAAGTGCAGGAACCGAGTCTGTTAGGTACGCCTTTTGTACGGTGCCATTTTGTTGCAGCGCGTCTAGAGCCGGGTGTATCCGTGGCAGACTGTCACTGGAGCGTTTCATCGCCTGCTGCATAGGACAGCTTCTTAAGCATGCAGAAGCTGTGGTTGTTTTGACAACTGTATACTAAATTTATCTGGAAATAAAGGGGAAAATTTAGTCTTGCGTTGCTATGTGTGCCTCGTGTTTTATTTATAGTTTGTTAGCCAAACCTGCTGACAGGATATATCTAACTTACTGCCTGGGGAGTGAAGGGAGGTAGGATTGTACCAGCCGCTGCCTGGAGAAGGCATTCCAGAGGCTCTGTGAAACTTTACGTGAGGCAGAAAGTGTGCAGGCAGATGGCAGCTGCTCTAATTAAGACTTACTGTCTCTGTCTTTCTTCCTGCTGCTGCAGCTTTTAAAGTGTATCTCTTCTTTTTAACACCAGAGGAATTTTAGTAATTTATTTATCTGTACACCAGGGTATGTATTATATTACAGTGATAAACGAGCTTAAACCCACTGAAGTAAATGTCTTGAATCTTCAGTAAATTGGACAATGAAATGACAGGTCTCCCAAGATAATGGCAGCTGAAGATGTGTAAATGAAGTTGCCATTTATGGTTAGTTACTACCCTTCACCAAGATCTTTTGAACTGAGGCATATAAAACACGTTGGCAGTCGACAGAGCTATCGAGATGCTAGGCAAAAAGGGAGACTCCATAGCAAATGAACATTAAAAGCACATGTTCCCTGTGGGTGTTGCTGATGCCGGGATGCTGGAGTGCAGTGTGCACACATGAGAATCAGCTCATCTTTTTCCATTCAGTGTTGGGGGGGCGGGGGGGTGTGTTTTGTTGGTTGGGGTCTGGTGTTTGTTTTTTTTTTTTTCTTTTTTTGGACATGCATCCGGCATTTGGAGTGGGTAAAGGCTGTGCTACTTGGGTGCCTGCTGGCAGTGACCGCTGCATCTGTGCAATCGCAGGCTGTCGTGCCAGAACACTTCAGCGTTTGAAATCGAGCCTGTTTCTTCCCCTTTGTGCGGGGGCTTTGCGCAGGGTTTGTTCGTTGGGTTGTAAACCGATGGTTTGTTTGGTATTTCAGAATTTCAGAAGCTGTGGAGGAGCATTCCCGTGGATTCTATGGATGAGGAGAAAATTGAAGAGTATCTGAAACGACAGGGTATTTCTTCCATGCAAGAAACTGGACCAAAGAAAATAGTAAGAGATACAAATTACAGACCTTTCTAGGAGATTCCCCCTTCCTGACCCCCGCGGTGTTAATTCCAAAACATGTCGGTGAGCCTATGCACAGCTGCTTTGTGCAGCTCGCGGAAGCGTGACCAATTTTGAGAAGTTGCAAAAACCCTTGCTGTAGCCAGCAGTCAGTGTTCTTACAACTTGTTTGAGCCAGTGTAATCCAAGCAGCGTCAAGAAGGGGGCAAAAGCCAGAAATCCCTGTGAGCTCCAAAGTGGAAGCTTCTGCTTGAAGCTGTACAGTGCATTAGGAGTAGAAGAATAATAGTTACTTTTCTGGCAGAAGGGCGGAGGTGAGGTTTAACTTTTTCCTTTCTGCTAAATAGCTTTGAAATCCTGATGGGAACAGTGTAACGTGCTTCCCGACACGCACACTCTATTCTCCAAACTGGGTGCAATATGCTCATGTTTTACTGGGAGGCCAAAATGGCGGCAAGCTCTCTAAAGATGCTTTCTTCTTGGCTTCAAACAATTTATTTTTTTTTACGTTTAATTGTATGCGATAGGCCACGTCTTTTCTGCGCTGTCCTTTCATGAGAGCCCTCGCCCACAGGACCTGTTCCTGGTTTCTTCTGGTCACTGCACTAGATGCTTTAACGCCTGTCCTCATGTAGGCACTCCTCGTGGGTTCCTTGTATGCTAAAAGTGTCTTGAGCACCTAATTGTGGATAGAATTACGGGGCACGTACCTGCTTCTGTAGCTGCATGGGAATGTTTGGAAACTTGGCTGATAAACGCCAGCTTTACTACTGTGCATGGGGTACGGAGACTCTGCTCTGTCCCCAGGGTTATCTCCCTGCCTGGATTTGAATTCAATGCCGGTGCCTCTTGCAAAAACAAGCGAGCACCTTGCCTGCCTGCCCACTACCACCTGGTTCAAGCAGGGCTCTTCTTCGCAGAAGTGATGTCTAGCGCAGCGTCATACATGAGGTCCGATGTCGCAGCTGGAGGGCAGATCTCTTGACTGCTCTTTATTTCTTCTTGCAGGCTCCTATTCAGAGGAGGAAGAAACCCGCTTCTCAGAAGAAACGTCGATTTAAGACTCACAATGACCACTTGGCTGGAGTATTAAAAGATTACTCTGATGTCGTTCCTGGCAAACAGTGACTGGTTGGATTTTGGAGCAAACATGCATTTTTATACAGGCTTTTTGCCACTCGGGCTCCGTGTCTGCTCGCAGAAAGACTGACTGTGTATAGTAATGTGATGTGTTTCCCCCATCCCAGCAACTGCTGAGATGAAACAGGTCAGTTTAAGAGCAAGTATGAACTACTAAATTTAGAGTTTAATTTAATTAGCTAATGGGAAAATGTGTCTTTAAGTAAGAGGTTCTCACTAGTTGCCTCTTGGCATAGAGTGATAAATGGTGCTCAGCATGTAATGCAGGAGTTCCTGTTCAGTGCTTAACTCTGCTTTTACATTGCTTAATGGGTATTTGCCTGGAATTACTTACAAGGGGCTTTCTAGTAGAATTGAATACAGCATTTGTTTTACCTATTTCAGGAAAACCTTTTCCTAAAATCACTGCAGGCAAGATTCTTTCACAGTCAAATATACCCACGGTTTGTATGCTTCTTCCTTGCCATGGGACTGAGCTTTACTGAACATCCGGGATATCTGAGGCTTAAACTCAGAAAACCCCTCTCCCGAACTCCCAGCAGGCTGCAGGATGGCAATGCAGCTGTAGCTTCCTAATGCTAATCAGAAATGGCCCTCACCAATTTCTCGTCATTGTAGTGGATGCACATGTGTTGCACAGTTCTACTTTGTGGGCAGGAGGGAAATAAAATGACAGTGTAATACTGAAGCAATTTTTTTTTTTTTTTTAAGTAATAAACTTAAAATGCTGGTTTCCAGTGTTGCTTCCTTAAGGAATGAGATAATCAACATCTTTCATGCTTGTTGTGTTTTCCTTTTCAAGGAGGTAAAGGAATCTTTGCCGTATTTTTATCTTCTCAATGACTTATTGTTCTGGGCTAACACTGTCATCTTTTTATTGTTCTTGGTTGGGTAGGGGGGGAGGAACCACCTTAAATGAAAGCTCCCTCTAGATGCCTGATGTTCTGTGCAGTACAGACCAACATGGAATGTGGCCAAATTATGTCCTCTTGATAACTTATTTTTATGTACTGAACCAGAGTCAATCAATGCTGATATTGTTTTCATGGCACTGCGGATGAGGAGCTGTTTCTCTGCTCTTCTAGTGTTAGGATCAAAGATAAAATAGGTGACTGCAATATCCCACCAACAGTAGATTGCTGCTGCGTGCACACGAGCTGTTGTCTTGCTTGATGTATCAGGGGGATGAAGCAGAGGCCGTGGGATCTGGACACACGGACAGATGAAGAATAAGGCTTTGTTGCTGTCGCAGTGAATGAGTTATGTCTGCTTGGGGAAGCACGGGAGGAAAAATGCGCTTCTGTAAGTTGTAGCATTTATCCTCCTGATTTTGAAGACTGCTCTTTTGAGAAACACAATACTTCCAGCATTTCATGTGTCAGCCCTCTTTGCTAAATGCCGGTAGGAGGTTTCTTCTATTAATTTTTTTCTTTTTCCCCCCCATGCTTTTTTTTTTTCCCCCTAAAACAAAATATATAATATATATATTTAAAAAAGCATGCTGCTCCAGCTGGTTTTGAAACTTTTTCTTTCCTGTATCTTCCAGGTCAGCACAAGCAATTCTTCTTGGAGTTTTTTAGTTTTCTGTTACAGCTCTGCTTTAAAGCCACCTGCGGCACACTTGCAAAACTGTTCACCTCTCTTCTGTCATCTTCACTCAAAAAAAAAAAAGTTCCCTTCCATCTGCTGCATTTTTGAGCAGTGATTTTTTTTTTGGTGGTGGTGGTGCTTGGACAAAAGCAGGAGCTCTTGGTGAGCTCTGAGTTGCCTTTCTTACCTTTGGGGGTTTTTATGGGGTAACTTCCCAGTCATCTTACATAGCATTGCCCTTTCTCTATGAAGCAAAGCTTGCAAAGCAGACTCTCAGGTAGGCCACCTGGTTTGTTTCTCTGCTCAAGTGATTAAGGTAATAGGGGTGTCTGAAGAAAACGCCTCCAGCTACTTTCAAAGATTAAAAATACGTTAGGTCAAAAAATAGGAGAGCGTGAAAGGAAGATTGCCAGCAGAGCACACAGAGCTGGTAGTCACTGTCAGGCTCCAGTGTTCAAAGGAATAAAACGGTCCAGTTGATGTCCAGTGGGAAGGACTGGATTAGATGCTTTGTCTCACTGGAGGAAGTCTTCTCTTCTGCTGTACTAGCAGAGAGCATGTAATAAGTACAACTTTTTAGGGTACAGTCTCAAAAATAGCTGCAGGGAAGCTCAACGTTTGCCCATTAGAGGTGGCATGGAATTACAGACAAGCAGTCGAGCAGTCGTGAAGAAAACAAGTTCAGAAAATAAGCACGAGCTCCTTCCTCTCTTTTGTGTGGGTTGTAGGAGTTGGGTTTTGTTTCTCTATCAAAGATGCTCTCAGTGGTCCTTACAGGTTTCTTCTAAGACCTCTTAACAATCAAACGGTGCAGCTTGAAAACATCTCGGGCTATATCAACTTGTTTGCTGAAGGCATTTTAGTATCTCTCCAGCCCACTTCAGTCTCATCACAGCATAATGTCCAGATCAGGCTTTTTGATGAAGTTCAGCATAAGAGTTCACAGCTGTTAAAAACTTAAACCTACTTCATCTTCCTCCAGGGTGTTCTTGTGTATTCTGTGTCTGGCAAGCTGGCTCTCCCAGTGGCCAAAACCACCATGCCCTCGGCTTGCTGTCTTTGGCAAAATCCTTCTTCCCTCAGTCTGGCAGCGCGCAGGGCTGCTGAGAGGCATCGTGCTCCTTCCCTGGAAGCATCTGCTGCTAACCAGGAAGAGAAGGGGCCTGAGGCTGCCCTTGACAAAGATAGAACACAGAACAGAATTTTTCAGTCGGGAGGGACCCACGGTAATCATCTCACCCGTGGCAGGCACCTTTGTCTCGCGCGTTTCAGGAAGGCTCTTTGAGAAACCCATCTCAGTGTGGTCTTTACCTGTCCCTCTGCCAGGTGAGAACTCGCCTCTTCCCCTCTCCTGAGGCTCCTCAGTGATGTGTGTCCTGTCCAGCAAGGACGTTGTTCCCCCTCAGCTCCAGAACTTGGTGGTTTCAATCCTGGCGGGGCAGTCATTTGAGCCTTTCTAACCCTCTGGGGCAATGGGGGAATGCAGGCACTGATGAGCGGAGAGGGCATTCAGCTCCCACCCCCCATCATGCTGATGGACAGATGGACAGGGCCCTGGGGAAAAGGAGGATGCTCTTTCTCAATGATGGGAGCTCTCCGAGATATATCTTTGTTGTCCACACCATCCTTTCGCTTGCATAATTGCATCTTGAGCCTGTGGCTGCAAGGACAGTACCTGCAGCAGTGACTAGAGCCATTCCCAAGGGAACACAGCTCTCTTGAGGTCTGCAAGCAGCCAGAGACGTGCGTTTGGTCCTCTGCTTCCCCCTCCATATTGCACACGTTCATCATGTTGGGAAGGAGGTGTGCTGATTCCTTCACGATGAAACCGGAGGAGGAGGGGAGCCGGTGGGGTAAGCCAGGTCGCATCGCTGACAGCCAGGCGTTGCTGGTCTAGGATTTGCTTCTGAAAAGGTACCCTCGCAGGGCATCCAGTAGCAACACCAGGATACCTGCCCGTGGGGATCAGGGGTTGCACTGGCCTTTCGGGAGGAGCTCGTGAGGATTTCTTCGTGTCTATATATGTGAACAAGACTTTTTATTTCATCTGCTCGTCCTCACCCCCACAATAAAAGTGCTGTTGTTTTCTTAAGGTACCAGTTGAATAGCCCAGGGGCGTCACAATGTTCAACATGGAGCTCTGCTGGCTTCTCTCCTAAAAGTGGCTCTAACTGAAGAGTTATTCTACCTCCTCCTCCGTTACGATGATCGTTCTGGAAGGGGATGGAAAACAGCAGGATTTCTTATGGTTGAATGAGAAAACTGACATAAGGCGGTGTGTACCAGAGCTAATCTATAATTCATCATGATCATTCAAGGCTTTTAGAGAGCAGAGGAGAGAGAGGCAAGGGAGCCCTGACAAATGGTATAAAGACCCTGCACGTGGACGGAGCCAGCGAGGGCTGTCACTTCCGATGAGCACGGGCAGGCGGTGCGGGGCCACTGGGGAGAGCTGGGCTCCCGGTACCTGCTGATGAGGAGGGGGCTGCGTTTGCAGATGACTAGAAGCAGCTATGGCACTGACATCTCATTATTTCCAGCTTTGTTGCTTGCTTTCCGGTCGCTGCTAATGTACCAGCCCCAAATTCCTTTGTGTGTTACTGCCTCAGGGGCCTCTGGCAGCTACTGCATCTGGGGGAGGATGTCCAGTAGGGTTGAGTGCTTACTGGTGACTGGTTAAGACCGGCAAGCCTAACCACTAACAACCATTGGGGAGAGGAGAGCTCGGGCCCCAGTCTGCTGGTACTGGCTTGCTACTGCTGGCAAAGTCGGGGATACGGCTGGATTGTCGAGGCCTGCCGCCGAGTTGTCAGCAAGAGGGGGGATCAGCCTGAAAAGAGCATTCCTGGCCGCCTCGGGTAGCTGGCATTGCTACAGCACTGCCCAGCCTGGCTCTAGGGGTGGTTGCAAAAGGCAGCCACCCCTGTTTTGGGGCTTGATCTCCCATGGGAGAGAGGGTCCGCTGCTGCGCCGCTTCTCGGGTCTGTTGTTCTGGCTCTGTAGGTGCGTTCCGAACCGTGTCGGTCTTTGTCAGTCCTGCCTAGGCTCTCTGGACACATCCCCGTGAAGCAGATAAGCAAGGATGGCGGTTCCCCAGAAGGGAGGGCTTGTCTGGACGCAGCAGGGCTCTCGGCAGGAAGGCAGCTTCTCCGTCGTGCTGGGGGTTGCGTAGCTGTAGCTGCTCTCTTCCCGAATGAGGCGAACGCAGCCTGCGCCGCTCCGGTAAGGGCCAGCAGAGCAAGGGAAGCCCTTGGCTCTTTGCTCAGCACGGGGGAGGTCAGACCTGGAAACTGTGTTCCGTTTGGGCCACCCCTCCCCGTTCAAGAGGGACGCAGGGATGCTGGGGAGGGTCTGGCTGGGGCTCCTGGGCCAGTCGGGGCTGGGGGCAGAGGGCCTGGGAGGGGAGTGGGGACCTGGGGCATCTCGGTGGGGTGAAGAGGGGGCTGGGGGCATATCTAATCACAGGTACAGTGATGTGAAGGGCAATTAGGAAGATGATGTGGTCAAACCCTTTTTGGCAGCCATGGCAGATGACATAATAGGGGAACGTGGGAAGCTTGGCTTGGAGATTAGGGGGAAAAAAAGCTGGTGGAGAGGTGTCTCCCTCCATGGAGGCTTCAAGCATTGCCCAGACAAGACCAGGCTACCCCGATCTCTTATTGGCAACAGTCCTGTTGCAAGAGGGAGGTTGGATCAGAGACCTCCTGTGGCCCCTTTTTACCCACGTGCTCCTGTTGGGTCCGAGCCCCAGCTCCTTCGGTGCCTCCTGGCTTGCTGTAAGAGCAGTTCTCCTTGTTTCTCGCTGGCTTGCTTTCTGCTCCTTTGGTTTGCAAGTGTGTGCGGCAGCCTTTCTTATCCAGCAGCCCGGAAAAAAAAAGACAGCCGTGACTCTGAAAACCCATCGGGGCTTCTGTGGTCGGGACCCACGCGTTGGACTCCACCAGCCTCGTGGGTTGGACGTGGTGCAGAGTGCAAGCACGGCAGGGGAAAAGGATGGTGAAGGCAGGAGGTTGTCCTTCCATTAAGTTAATTTTTTGACTGTACCTGCACTTCTGGGCTTACATCCAAGGCCTGAAGTACTTGCCTGATTTCCTCCTGCCTCCATCAGTTACGTTGTATTCTCGATTCCCTCCTGAGCTAGTTATTAATTATGGAGACTGCAGAGATGAAGTCCAGACTCTGCTAATGGTTGACTTCCCCGTGTTTTAGACAAAGCATTTCAGGGACCTGCTAATGGTGTTTTTTTAAGCTCCACCGTCATCTTGGTTTCTAGCCGGAGCGTGGCTGCGAGGCAGATAAGGGTGTTTAAATGTTGGCTGAAGCCTGGCTCTCCAGGCAGCCTGCAGTTGCAGGGCACGGTACCTGCAGCACCCCGCTCATCTCCCTGGGTCGAAATGTCTCCCCCGTGCAAGGCGCTGCCCTGCCCAGCCTGGGGCTGGCTGCCCTGGCTCTTAGGTGGCTTTTAGGTGCGCTGTGCAGTCCCCCGTGTGCAGTTATCCCGTCCTTCCTGGGGCGGTGGGATGGCCGATGCTCTAGCTTTGTGCTCTCCTGGGCGCGTGGAGCCTTTTTGTGCTGGCGGGGAGCACAGAGTGACCCTTGCTGGCTGACGCCTCCCAGTTTCCCCAAGCTTTGAGAATCGGGGAGCAAATCCACGGGGGAGCGCTGCGCCCTGGCCCCAACTGTCCTCACAAAACCACCGCTTTGCTCTTGGCCGCTCTTAGCTTTCATCCCAGGTCTCAGCCTCTGAAGCTGCCTGGCCAAACCCCCAGCGCTCTCTCATCTTTCCTCTCCCAGCCTTGTTATTCCTTCTCCCCCTCTCCCGAGGAGGCCCGTAGGAGCCGGGATGCTGGGCTCCCTCCTCCTCCCTGCCCTGTCCGGGGCTGTGGGCGCTGCCAGCCCTGGGCCTGCTGCCTGCCTGTCCCGTGCAATCCTCTGGGATTCCTCCACCGCTCGTTGGGTCCCTCCAACCTGGGGAGTTAGCCCTGTCTTTTTTTCTCCGCAGACCCTGCTCCCTGCCGTCACTTCTGCCCAGGGGCAGCAAGCTTCTGCGCAGGGATGCATCCCCCCCGCCTCCCTGAGCTTAGCCTTGGCGTTTGGGGGAAAGCAGAAACAATGAGAGTGTGAAATTTTCTCATTTTGGTTTTTCCAGCTCTGTCTCTTCGTTACACACACACACACACACCCCCGGGGACTTATCCCTGGTATCGGATGCCAGCGCTGGCCCGGGAGTCCCTGGTCCCATTTTGCAATCTCCCACTGTCAGCTCGGGCCTTCCTGTAAGCGTCCCGACGGTCACGGGGAAGGAATGTTCCCTGGGCCGCGTGGGGAAAGGTCACCACGGGCAAAGGGGACGCTGGGGACGGGCGAGCGGCTTGCCGTTCCCGCGCAACGCCCATCAGCACAGCGCTGAAAACGTTTTGGGAAATATAAAAAAAAAAAAAAAAAAAAAAAAATGGTTCAAGAGGTTAAATATTTTCAGCAAGGCCTCCCCCCCGCCCCCCGCTTCCTTTTGCAGGGCAGATCTCGGAGCAGATGCTATGCCCAGGCGAAGTCCGGGAGGATGCGTGTGTTTTTTCGTCGCTTCCTTACCCGGAGGATCGCTTGCTGTTGAATCCTCTCCCGAAAGCGTCTGCCTGTCTCGCTAACGCGGTGCCCGGGACGGCGGCGTCAGCCGGTTACCGCCGCTCTGGATAGGAGCTGGGCTGCGCAATACGTTCGTGTTGCGCTCGCAGCTTGTCGCTCTCTTCCCTTCCTACCCCGGGCCTGCCAGCAAACCTCTCCCCTGAATGCAGCTGGGAGAGAAAGCTCGGACTTGGCCGGGGGATTAAGCATCCAGCATTAAGGACTTAACTCCCGCCCTGGCTCATCCCTGCCAGCTGGGGGGTTCAAGTAACACCACCGTATCCATGCCTTTTTCTTCCACCCTCGACAGTTTGTAGCCTGCTTTAATAATGCCTTTACACTCCGGGCTGCGTTGGCTAAGCCGGAGCTTGCTCCTGGTACTTTGTTTTCGGAGTCTTGGCCTGTTGGCCGAGGCTCCTGGGGACGCTGGTCACATTTATCGGGGCAGGGGTGGAGCGGAGGAAGGAGGAGGAATTTCTACGTTGGGCTTATGAGCTGAGGTTTTGGAAATTCTCAGCGTGTTAAAAAAAAAAAAAAAAAAATCTGGCCCTTGGTCTCTAGGTTACGTTTGCCTCTGCTGTGGCTGAGCTCATGGAAAATTGCGGCTTAGCTCCCGTGCTCAGTGCCAAGATTAGTAGGTTTAAAAACTAACCGATAACATCTTTGTAAACTTGGAGTCATTTCTTTAAAGCCTGCTGATCCTTCCAGCCTGGATTTTGGAGCTTTCCTAGAGATCCAAGCGAACCAGGCGGGACGACGACGGTATCTGCCCTGAAAAATCTCCGTGTCCCTCAGGAGCGTGGCCTTCACAACACCCCGAGGGAGGAAGGAGGCTGCTGTTCCCCCGGGGCCCCGACGGGTGCGCGTTGGGATCCTTCCCCCTGTTCCTAACCCGATACACACAGCACGCCACGAACTCTGCGCGTAACTTATAATAATCACTGCTTTTATTTTTAAAAAATTACAATAGAAAAAGTACCTTTAAACATATTTCCAAAAGCGGAGTAGACAATGTGGAAGCTTCTCTCCTCTCCACAAGATAAAGTACAGGAAATAGTTTGCTAAAAGAGTTAGTCCGTCGCTTGGAAACGCTGGTATCGTTCCTTTCAGAGCCGCTCAGAGGTTTGTCTTGGAATTGATTTCTTCTCGCGTCGCCTTTATCAATCCCACTTTTTACAGAAGACCCCAATGGGACGGTTTCCCATCGCACCATCTCGCCCCCTGCCCCATCCCAGCTCCGGCAGCCAAAATCTCAGCCGCCTTATTTTGGCCCACCCACAGAATAAAAGGAAGGAGGAAGAAAAAGGTTTATGATGTTCAACAAGGCCACGGGCACCCTTCGGTGGGAAACCAGCTACGGCGAAGCCCGGGCAGCGGCTGAGCGGGGTGTACTCTGCAGCTGGGGTGGGGTGGGGGGAAACGCAACGAAAGGAGAAGTTTTGCGCCTCCTTTCTGAAACCTGTTTGAGGTTTTGGGGCTGGTTTGCTTTTGCTCTCTTTCCAAATTCCTCCTGGAGCAAGGAGAAGGAGAGACCGGCGTGTCGAGCGGTCTCTCTGCTGGTACGCTACCTCTGCAAAGGTTACGGATACCGCCCCAAGGGTATTAGCAGCCTCCCTTCTTGTCTTTGCACCTGGAAACATGGAAATGCTACGCAGCGAGCCGCCAGACCGGCATAACCTTGACACTAAAACCCCGGTTCAGCCCAGCGCTTTGGCCTAATGGTGGGCACGTGTCTAAGCCCCTCAGCTCCCTCGGGACTCGCGCCCAACCTCGAGTAAGCTGGCGAACCGAGGGTTGGTTGGTTGTTTTGTTGTTTTGTTTTTTTTCTCTCCTCGTACAGCAGTTTACGTTGCCCGAAACAACTTCAAGCAGTCGTGGCAGGAGGAGGATGCAAATTGTCACCTTGCTATATATGCGGGCTGCCTCTGCCCATCCCTGATCCGTGCCGTTGTGCCGTGCCGAAGCTTTGCACAGCAAGCTATTAACATAGCCCTAAGGTAAAAAAAAAAATCGCCGTAAGAAAGTTTCTGATTGTCCCGCCTGGTTGTCATTTGGTACAACTGGGAATAGAACAGTAACACTGTAAGTGTCCGCAGGCGTCTCGCCGACACAGCCGGAGCACAGTTCCTGTGCCGGAGGGAACACAATTCCTACGGACCCGAATCGTGCGTCTCGACATCTGCACACACGTGAACGTCATGCCTTCGACATGCAGCTGACGGGGCGGGGGGGATAGAGACTCTTAATTACACGCATTCAAAAGTCAAGCACAAAACCTGTGGTCCGACCCTGTGTAAGATTGTCCTATTCAGGAGGTTTTGGTACAAAAATACTTGCTCTCCTTTTGCTTTTTTTTTTTTTTTTTTTTTTTTTGTAGTCCGCTTTCCTATGGTTCTGTTTGAAAAGACTTTTCAAACGCTACAGCAATGCCTGTCAAACCATGCTTTCAGAAGTAACACGCTCTTTCTTACAAATATACAGTGTAAAAGAGGAAAATATTATTACTAGGTATGCTTTTCATTTTTCTTCTAGAGAGCAGATGTGTGATAGAGGCTGTGGGAAAGTCTTGGAGGAATCCAAACTTGTGTGAGGTTTGTTTGGGGTTTTTTTTTTTCAAGCCTGTA